GCAATTGGCCTTAAGTGGTGGGAAGCCTGAACTAGGTTGGGGCATAAATGATTTAGGGCAATTCATGTATGAATTATTTGCTGGATATATAGTAGGGCTTTGATAAGTAACCGGTACGCAGGACAGAGAATTATTCGGGGATTGTCTATTTGCAGCAAATGTTTAATGAAAGTAAGGTTGAAGCAGAATTCCAGGGACGGCAGGAAATAATAATAATTTTTTATTTAATGCCAGTTTACAGCCATGGTCAAGGAAACCGTTACACACAAGTCCGGCCAGCAGTGAAAAATTTCCTGTTTGGAAAGTTATAAAAATATAGTTGATGGTGGTTTTATGGTTTGGAGTGTTCAGGGGAATAAAAACTGCTGGCAGCAAACTTTCGAACATCAAGAAGGGAGGGGTTGCAAGTTATCGGAGATTATCAGTAGCAAATTTTTTTCATGAATTTAGGGTTATTCCAACCAGAAGCGCCGAAGAACAGCTGTCGTTGTTGGCTAAAGAAATTATCCCTGGTGAGACCGGCCATAGTGTTCAGAGACCACAAACGCCATCGCTACGGTACTGTCGTTCGGCGGATTCACCACCCAAAATTTATGGGAGCTTATCTGAATGCAAAAATCGAGTAATAGTTCTCTTACATAAAGGATAATTTTGCAGAGTTTTCACACTCATGGGTAGTTTATTCCAAATAGCAATTGCATTTACAGAAAAAGAAGCGACGATGTTCGACAGTACATGCCAGAGGAAGAAATAAGAAGACCTCACGGTGACTGTTACGTCGTGGGTGGATATGATGTCTTAAGGAAGTGAGTGGGTTAAATGTGTGATTATATAAGAGTTTAAATAGCAAAAATAGTCCCTTTTGTATTCCACGGAACCGTAAAGGATCAAGGCCCGTAAACCGGCAACGTTCTTGGTAAGACAAATGTGGGTGTTCCGGGGTTAAAAAGCTTTCGGTTAAGAAGTGTTGAACGGATTCTGTTTTTTTGCGCTCAGTAGCACGTATGAGGCTAGATAAAAACGAACAGTATTCCAGGCCAGGTCTAACGTACATATTGTAAAGGCGCATTCTAATGTCCCTTGTTTTAAAGTTTCGGAGGATAAATCCGGTCGTTCTACGTGCTTTGGAGACTATCAAGGCACAGTGCTCCGAGAGATTGAGACTCTTGGAGTATGATTCGCCCAGATCCTTAATAACCCCAGGCACATTTATGGCGTGACCGTCAATACTTAGTTGAGGTTGGCGGTCGTCGCCAGCCGCCCTGACTGAGCATTTATGCCAAGAAAGAGAAAGGCGCCATGTGCGGCAGCACTGGACAAAAGCCTGTAGGTCGATCTGTAGGAAGTTAAGCACGGTGTCATGATCTGCCGGCTTATATCGATAAGCAAATTTCGGATCATCGGCATACACGAAAGGCTTACCCTTCTGAAATAAATCGGGTATATCATTAACAAGGCAAAATAGAAGTGGGCCGAGTACACTCCCCTGGATAACTCCATTCCTCACACATTTGGGGTTGGAGATAGCATCGGAAATCTTAACTCGTTGTGTACGAGTGCCCAGGTAAGAGGATATAAAATTTAAAAGTTTGCCACCTATTCCGATAGAGGACAGTTCCAAGAGAAGAAGAGCATCGTCAACACGATCAAAAACCTTAGTGAAATCGAAATATACTGTGTAAAGTGCAAAACCATTGTACCTAGATTGGAGAACATAGTCAAAGAAAGAGAGTTGACAGGTGTCACAAGACCGAGCTTTGAGAAATCCATGCTGAGCAGCACTCAGTGCGGTTTCGGCCGTGCCAGCCTCCAAATCTATCTTGTGTTGTTTGAAATCCTGGTTATTTGTTGTGTGGACCAGGGGGTGTGGTGGAACGTCAAGGTGAGGATCCGTCCGAGCCATCCACCTGCGGCCTCTCTCGTCTCCGGTCTTCTTGACTCTGTCTTGACACCGGGCTCGGGCGAGGGAGGAGGAGAGAGTGAAGGTAGATGCTACGCAAGTCTACCGGCACTATAAACCCCTGCGTAAGTCACCGTCCCTGCTCCCATTGCTGCTGCAACAGTGGGGCACACTGTGGACATTATCGAGACCGATGGTCGAACTGTCAAGGTATTCACCGTTAAGTGACACATCACCTTATCTTTGATCAATGTCTCGAAGATCTTCGAAACTGCGTGGAGAGTGTTTATTGGGCGAAAGTCATCAAATAACGTAGATTTGCCATGCTCAGGAATGGGCAATATGATCGATGTGAGCTCTGGGCGAGGGCGCTTGTGGGACAGACCATGTCTTTAGTGTGGTCCTCACTGGAGTTATTGGTGCAAGAGCACATTTGGTTTAGGAACGAGCCACCTGTTCCAGTTGCTATTCCGTGTGATTCCAATAAACATAGTTGCATGAGAGAGCCTTCATGCGGTTGATTCTCGGATGATCAGTATAAAACTGTCTCAGGACCCTTTTTTGCAGATTCTGTGCACTGCCACAAGTTCGTAGAACAGGAGACAGTCGTTGACGGTGGACAGTTAATATTGTTGTTGGTGGAACTGTCGTAGTCCTCCAGAAAGTTTTGCGGGTCACTGACTGCGGCGGTGCATAATGACTTTTCTCAATAGTGGATCCTGTTGTGTTACGTTTCCGTCTTCATCAAAAGTGACAAAAACTGCACGAATGGAGTACACAAACAAACTGAGGACCTCGGACTCGACGGGTTCGGACGTAATGACTGTATCCTCAGGCCCATTATTCTGTGAGTTGACTAAGCGCAAGAGTGGGTCTGCCTGACCGATTTTCGTAGTCGATTGGTGCCGGATATCGAAGTCGTATCCCAGAAACATGGTCGCCCAGCGCTGACGACGATTGGCTGAGTAGACGGAATGCCTTTCTTTAACCCGATAACCGCAATCAGGGACTTATAGTCCGTAAGAAGGGCGAAATGGCGGCCATAGAGCACCTTGTTGAACTTCTCCGCAGCGAAAATTATAGTCAAGGCCTTCTTCCCGATCTGTCCGTAATTGCGCTCTGCAGAAGTTAGCGACGTTGCGGCGTGGCAAGTAGTCTATTTTGATTTATCGAGAAAAACGTGGGAAATGACGGCGCCAATTCCATAATTGGAGGCATCCGTTGGTACGCCAATCTTTAGATCGGGATTGAAGTGAGTGAGTAGCATTTTAGACCTGAACCTGGTTTTCACTTCATCAGATGTCTGCTGACACTTTCGCGACCAGTGGCATTTGGATTTTTCTGGAGTAGTTAATTTAATGGATGACGAAGGCGATACATTTCCGGAAGGAATGAGCTCTAATGACTCATGAGACCCAAAAAGGGGCTAAAGGAAGTTATATCCTTTTGTGAAGACGTGTTCCCAGGAGTTCACTTGCAGCCTCCCCTTGTAAAGGGACTTTGAAGAACGGCATCTTCTTTTCGGAAGTCAGTGTGGTGGGGTTTTCAAGTCGCACAGCAATATTCTTTGCCATTAACCTGCCGGGATACACGTTCTCGTAAAGCAAGTTTTGGATATGTCTAAGATCCCCCTCGATGCTATCTGAAGGACGAATTTTTTCTAGCACTTCGCGCCAAACACCGGACTAGATTTCGTTCCTGCTTGCTGGCATGACCGCTTGGTCGAAATTTTTCTAGCTTACCCATGAAAACATCGGCTAGGAGAGGCCCAAGAGACGAGCCCGTAGAAACGCCGTCTATTCGTCTATCAAGTTGGTTGTCAAAAATGAACTGGACAATTTTCGCGCATCTCACTTGATCCTGTGGAGTTGGTTAAATTGGTCTCACGAGTCGGCGCCTATCCAAGAAATTACGAGAACACCATCCCGCGTGGTTGGGAAGACGAAACTAGGAGCGAAAGCAGCGCCATTCTCGCGTACATTGATGACTGCGAACATCCTGCGGACCACAGTGAAACTTTCTGCGTGAGTTATAAGGTCTCATCGAGTTAACCTAAGCTACTGAGCTAGCGTCTGTCAAGCAACAGCAGAAGGAGCCGCCATCGGACTGTGAAAACTGATCTTATGCGCGAAGATGAGCCACGTTCGGGCTTTGCACGTACTGTGGTCGAAAGTCGACTAATAATGCAACTCTCCAAGCCATCCCGCTCTCGCCCTGTCCCTGGCATTAGCTGTGGGAATATGAAAGGGGGGGGGGGTAATATCCATGCCCATATTCCCACACCTGTCTGTTTTTTAAGATGGACTGTAATAGATTCCGTTATACATTGACATGTTTCTTTATTCTACCCCATCCCCATATAAGTGTACTGGCCTGATGAGAATCCATCGAAAATAAAGCTATACTCGCCAACTAGTCTTCTGTATATGTTTTATGATTTTGCTGAATGCCCTTATTAATCTTTGTATGGGGGCGTTTTAAATGCATGCATTCGAGTATTTGACTGCAGGTAGGTGGTTAAGAGTTATGTTTCTGTTAACCTAAGTGGGCAGATCTCAACAAATGCATTGACTGTGCTGATCTTCTGGCGGTCATAACAATTTGAACATATAGGGTTTGTGTGGCAGTGCCTGCCTTGAGCTCGTGCGCAAAATGGAGGAGGTTCTTAATCGCGTGGCTGACAGTATCCCAACTTTGGAGAATAGCAAGTATAAAGGAAACATGGGTCGCATTGGAGTTCTCGGGGGGTCTAAAGAGTATGTCCTTGGCATTTTTAAACTCAAAGGTACTCTGGTGCGCCCTACTTTGCCGGCATTACCGCGCTTTATTGCGTAGGATTCGATAAAATAATGATTGACTCACTAGGGAGCTGATATCGTCCATGTGTTTTCGGCGGCAGCAGCCGCCCAATCGATCAAGTGCTACAGCCCAGAGTTAATTGTGCACCCGACCTTGTATTTTGGTGAATTTGTATTCTTATTTTAGGGACAATGATGTCGAAGAACCATCCAAGTGGTTGGAGAGGCTTCATGGCCTTGTTATCGGGCCTGGCCTTGGTATGTCAGAAAACATACCGAATACAATTAAGGCACGGGTTTATCTTCTAATATCTCCTTGTTAGATGATGGCAGCCTGCAGGGCGGCAAATAAACCGATGGTCATAGATGCGGACGGAATCTACATTGTGGCAAAGCACAAAGACCTGATATCCGGTTATCGGAAGGCCATTATAACACCAAATGTGAACGAGTTTTCTCGTCTCTACAAGACAGTAATAAGTAGGTTGCCAGTTATTATAGAGAAAACTACCCCAGACGAGGACGCAAGTGATGATATAAATGAAGCGGCTCGTTTGGCAAAGGCATTGGGAAATGTAACCGTTGTCCGGAAAGGCCCAGTCGATGTCATCTCAGACGGTGACGTGCGTGAGTATTTTGTGTTAACACACAGCAAGTGATTAAACATGCCACTTTATAGCACACAGGCTATATGGTTTGGTTTTCTCCAGTAATCCTCACCTGAGCTTTCCAAGTGCCATATTTTTTGTCTGTGCCTGAAAGCTCTGCAATTTTCATAAACTGGACATGTTAACCATTTTTTTGCTGTAAGCTATTTGTCACTGGCATATTGTATAGCCTTGCACACGTTCACTTCCGTCTACGGATCAACATCAGCTGCCGAACAGCGCGATAAAGAGACCTACCCGCAGCTGCAGGAGTTAGCTAGAAGACTCCTCACCGTGATCTGCCAATTGCTGTCGGGACCTGGAATGGCCGGACTGGATCCGGCGACTTTTCAGAAAGTCACCTTTTTGGCTATTTAGGACTTGGCTCTCAATGGGGCAATGAAGTGAAAGCGCTGAATTTTGTCGACCAGAACCAACTGTTTGTCAGTAACACGTGCTTTCAACATCGCCACAAACATCTGCTGTGGCGGTATTCAAATGACGACTATATAGCCAGTCAGGCTGACTAAGCCCTAGTAACTTAAAGGTTGAGAAGCCGGGTTCACGATAACACATCGATGCGTGGTGCCGTAACTGGAAACGCCCATTAGTTCTGTTCTCATGCCTGAAAGTTCACCCCTCATCTACACGCAAAATGCAACGTACGAGACGCCTTGATGCCACAAATCTTTGACAACCCATCAATGTCGAGGCCCTGAGCACAGAAATCTGGTCCCGTTTCACGAAGCGAACCGATGGAGAAGGCAGTGGCCGATGGTCATTACTAATGTCATAAGTCTATGGGCAGCTGAGAAAATTCTTGGATTCGCCCAGCGCTGCCACAGAGATTGGATCATCCAGACGACTCTGTAGTTGCCTGCCCAGACGGCTCGAGCCAGGTCGTCCCGCAACGATGCATCCTTCTACTAACTCCGGAAAATGACTACAAATTCGACTTGAGATGACTGACAGAAATATTGGACTGGAACAGCAACCTCCATAGAGTAGGCCAGTCTCCAAGAAAGGAGACAAGACGACTTGAGAGAGCCACCGCGACATAAGTCTCATTAGCGTTGCTGCGAAGGTTTTCACTGTTGTCTTTTTCAAGCGATTGCATCCTGTGCGTGATTCTAGAACGAGGCCAAACCAAGCCAAATCCCAAGCTAGACGTGGATGTGCAGACCAAATATGGACAGTAAGGTACATTCTAGAGTCCCGCCATGGCTTCCAGTAACTGACGGCCGTCTGCTTTGTTGACTTAGCCGCTGTATTCGATTCCGTCCATCGCGACTCCCTGCGGCGAATAATGGAGCTATTTGGTGTGCCGGCCAAAATCATCGCCATAAGTGCTTCACGATTGCGCGAGTTCTCGTCCATGGTAATCTCCCTCAACCATCCGATATCCGATCTGGAGTTCGACTAAGTTGCGTCCCGTCGCCCATTCTGTCCAACTACGACATTAACTGGACTCTCGAAAGAGTCGTACACGGCTCTGATGGCGTAGAACTCGCAACCGGACGCCGGCTGACTGGTCTAGACCACTCTGGCAATATCGCCCTGTTAGCTTCATGTTTGGTAGCCTAGTATGTGGTGTCACGAGTGAACGGAGTCACTACTTCGGCCGGTCTTTCCATAAACGCTAGGAAGACCAAATTGTTTTCGGGCTGCATCCCTGCCCAGGAGAAAGCATCCCTCGGTATGGACGGCTGTCTACTTAAAGAAGTAGACAGTTTCAAACACCTGTGGGTGAGGCTTCAGTCCAATGGACAGAGCCAGGATGCCATTGTCTCCCGAATTTATGCTGCTAGACGGGTTTTCTCAACCCCTTGAAAGTGTCCGTGGACCCGAAGCGACATCGCCATCGTCAAGAAGATCGTCATGTACTGTTCATCCGTCCAGTCAGTCCTCTATTACGGTCCTGAATGCTGTGTTTTGCGCGTGGAGGATGGGTGAATACAGGAGGTACTCTGACTTCGTCTCAAATGAGGCTGTCCACGCTCAATGCGGGAATATCGCGAGGATATCTCAGGTCATTCAAGGAAAACGATTGGGGTGGTTTGAACACGTTCTCCGTCGTCCGTCTCACGAGCTCAGTTCATTGTCCTCAATAGGGCACAGTTGCCCACCTGGAAGCGTTGAAGAAGCGACAAAGTCAAGACTCGGCTTGACACGATTCGTCAAGAAATGTAAGTGGTTCTTGGACCTTCTATACTCGGTCTCCATTACTGGAGAAGAGTGGATCGAGCTGTCCAGATCAACTGCCGCAAATCTTCACTCGTAGAAAGGTAGAATAATTGAATTCTTCGGGGCCGGCTAGATCGGGCATGCTCACAGCTGCGCCAAGCACAAGTAAAGGTATAAGCTCTGTGTAGTGCCATGTCAAACAAATAGGGCACGTCAAGCACTGAAGCCTATTAGGCAGCTTGCCGGAAAGGAGCCAAACATCAGTCTGTGGAGCACACAGTGGACATAATCGAAATCGATGGTCGAACTGTCATTGCTCCTGCTCTCATCCGGCTGTGGAGCACACAGCGGACATCGTCGTTCACGACAGTCAAACTGCCATCTGCTATGGAACCCTAAAGTATGAGAGTTATTCATTGTCCCCGGCAATCCGCTGTTTTGAGTTTTCCATCGCTTTTCAAGTGATTGCTTCTAAAAGTGCCAACTCAACGTCTTCCGCTTTTATCGTAATTTAGCTACCTTGGAACCTCGAGTCGAGATGTCTAGTGAATTTCTCATTACCCTTGCAACTAATAATGACAAATATACCATCAATATACTATCTCTGCAATACGGATCGACAATGTTCAAAACACGCGCTTCAAGTCGCTGTATTCCATCTTAGAAATTAGACTGCCCAGCGACGACTCCATCAGAGTACATTTAACTTCTTCATGCAAAACTTTATCGAATATGAAGGCCTTCAAGAAGTGTTTCGCGAGATCGACAAAGTCCACGTCTTTGTCATGTTCTTCGAGCAAGGTTTGTATTGTTGCAACAGCGACATGTTGTAGGATCGAGATGAAAAACGTCAATCCCTCATGTGCGTGTGAGACACTTTGCGGCTTTTGAGGGAATTGCTCTGCTGAATGGACAGTTGGTTTTAAATCCTGGTTTAAAAACCTAGGCCACTGAAACAACCCTGTGGCAAGGACCAGCCCCAAGGTTCTTCAGAGATACAATCGACTGTTAGTCTATGTTATGATTCTTGCCTCCCAAAGACCTGCTAGATATATGACGGCAGAACGCACAGGTGTCGTTGAAACCAACAAATAAGTCACAATGAGGGTTCATATGCACGAACATGCCGTTAGGCGTAGGGTCAAGCTATCCCTGGCGGCCGCCCACACATCTTGGGGACGTAACTTTACCATTGATCATCTAGTGATGATAGAGCAATCGAATGACTTGATTTACGTCAGCTGCGGAAAGCATAACATTCCATCGGCACATTAATTTGCCACCGGCTTATGAATCGCTATGTAAACAATTTTCCGACGCGACTGAAGACCATCCCCGACGGAAGTGTTCGAGGTCTAGTGGAGTTGCTCGTTTTCATTTCGCCTTGGTCGTGGAATCAGTGGGCAGTACAAAACGTCAGGAAAGTAGGATTTGGAATTTTAAAATCACCATACGTTCTTCTACGAATTGACCACCTACCAAAATGTAAATAAAACTGAGGTGTTCCGTATGCAAAATGGGCAGGGGCATAACATGTGCCGCCGAGAGCGGACATTAATCTATCCCATAAGGCAGTCTTAATTTAGAAAAAAGGTTAAAACGCCTAATAAAATGTCCGCATGTAGGGGTTACAACTACCGTGATAGTTCTGCTGCTAACATTTACGCTCTTACAGTTAAAATTCTGATTATTGCAGTCCTCGTTTGTGACGCCGAAGGATCTCCACGACGCTGTGGTGGGCAAGGTGATCTTCTATCCGGTGCTGCGGCTGTTTTCTCCTGTTGGCTAGATGCAGTTGATTTCCGTTCCCCGTAAGTCTTTTCTTTGTGCCTCTATAATATAGTTGAACTGCCTGACTCGTTTGCCTGCTTTATAACGGGAGTTTGCGGTGCTAATTCACCGCTATTCGTCTGCAATAAGACGATAGCGCAAGCGCAGTCACTTGACAATTTTTTAAACAAGCCTGTTTAGTACTGTCGGTTCCATCTGGGTAACTACACACTGTTCACTACTAGATTTTTTCTCTTAATAACGTTTTCCCTACTAATAATGGTCCCCTACAAGACCAACATAGGCACTGGATAGAACCCCAGACAAGTTGCTCTTCGATTTTCTGCTGCTACATGGGACGGCTGTGAGGGCTTGGGCTCTCAGAATGCTCCACTTGGCCTTTTGTACAATTACTGGCAAGGCGCGCATCAGAATTGATTCAAACGCATGGGGTAATAGCTGGAACGCACCTTGTTTGAACTAGACTTGCCAAGTTTGACTACACTTTTTGAGCGAATGTTTAGTTCGAATACTGGGATTTTCGGTCGACCGGCCGCTCACTATGCGCATCTGCAAATCTAGCAGTAATTCGTGTTTGGACACGAGGATTGTCCCCCCCCCCCCCACCTTCACTTCTACCTTCATTTATACCACAAACAACACGGGACCCGCAGGGGACGCAGTAATGAGCCAGTGCTCCCTCAGTTGCATTACATAACGTCAGGAAATCTGCGAACGACGTGTCTGTGCCCTTTGTTAGCGTCTCTGTTGCCGCAGCTGTAGAATTTCTGGTGGATTACTGCAAGCACTGACACTGAGACGACGCTCGCCAGCTTGTTGATATGTTGGGTTCCGTCTCAGCCGCGCCTTCGTCAATATCGAGGTTTGCTTACCGGTCGGAATTTTGCCCACGAATACCGTCTTCGTCGACGTTGCCTGTCTTTGTTGAGACAAATTCCCTGTTCCTTGCCATTGTGCAGTTCCTTTTCCTACAATGGACCCGACGGAAGAGCGCCTTGCCGACTCAAAATCATTTCGACCGACTTTGTTCGAGGAATAACGCAGGAGTGACGATGATTAATGTTGATGTATGTTCACGTGTTTTAGAAATGACCATTTCATTTCTTCTTGTTTTTTTTCCACTTATACTTCTCAAGTACGGAAAAGCGTTAACGATACGGATCGACGCCCAAACACCGAAAAACCTGGAAACATTTAAAGTGGATCCTACGAGACAATTCATTCCTCCCGATAAATTTTGCTATTTAAATAACGAGGACGTATATTTAAAGTCTCGTTTGAGACTTGCGAGCCGACCTGTTAACCTTGACAGCTGCAATCCGGTTGGTCTCATAGATTGCTGCTCCAGTCTCCACTGCTCCTCTCCAGGTCGTTCGATTCTTACGAGGTCATCCCAGATCTCCGGATTGATTTGTAGATTCTTTAGAAGAATGTTCAGTGTCCTTGTAACATCGTTTCTGTTTTGTATGTCGCGACGTCGCCATAGAGTATCCGCCTGGGTGGACGCTCGTCAATCCCACAATGCGGCCTCACAATCGTTGCTGGATTTGCCCCAACATGACCTGGTGCTCAGGATTCGGGTCAGTTCCCGGATTTCCGTGTCAGCGATTCTGTCTTGTCGCCTCAGCTTCAGTATTCTCCGGCAGCAACTGAGGTGGAAGTGATTAATTTGCCTGGCTTATTTGGCGTAGATTGTCCATTTCCACATCCCGCAAAGCAGCGTCGTTTGGACTACCGCCCTGCACATCTTGAGCGTCGTGTCGAATTGAAGTTTACGGCGGTTCCAGACTGAGGACTGTAACCGACCGAAGGCCTGGCTGACTTTGGAGATTCGATGGACCACTTCATCGGTGGTCTTGACATTCCTTGCGAATACTGATGCAAGTCGAATCCCATTGGCTTTTATACGGGGTGCAGTGTATTCGGCGCCAGGCACCGATTTGTGCATGATACCGTCTTCTCCGTGCTGATGGTCAGTCCAAAATGAGAGCAACGAAAGCGAAAAGACCCATACTGCATGTCCTCTTCCGTTGTGGCATTTAGCGTGCAGTCATCCGTGGACAACAGGTCGTAGGCGCTGTTCTTGGATCCCACTGAAGACGCTTTAAGGCGACGAATGCTGGACAGTTCCTTGTCGGTTGGCTAGTTGACTTTGATGCTCAGCTATTCCTCACGGTAGGCCTCCATCAGGGTGACAGAAAACATGAGACTGAATAGAGTGGAATTGATTACATAGACCTCCTCCTCCACCCCATCGATTACCGCGAACGCTTCAGAGATTGTGCCGTTGTCCGTGACTCGGACCATCATCTTATCATGAAGATACTTCTGAAGTTCTCAGCACTACGCTTCAGAATTTGCAATTTCTCGGTAAAAATGTTGATCCGCCGGAGTTGAGCAATTATGTGATTCCTTTGGTTGTGGGGCCATAGACCGTACTGATTGACGCGAAGATATTCTTCCTCCCATTACGGCCCATGTATCCTTGTATTTTCTTGGTCTTGCAATCTATCCACGCATTTTGAATCTCCCGCAGCCGTTGACGCACACCAGGCGATGGCATCTGAAGAAGGCCGCTTTGCTTGCGTCCGTTCCACCACCTGTTCATCTCGACGAGCAGGTCGGTGATTTCTGCTTCGTTGTCGTCAAATCAGTTCCGGTGTTTGCGGCGTATGCGACCCTGAGCAGTGGAGTGAATTGCGTTCTGCGACTAATACCACCGTGTATAAACGGTGACGTTATCATCTGGGACCTGTAGATCTTCCAGTCTCTGGGTTGCTGAAATCAAAGCGGCGAGAAGACGCATTGAACAGATCAGTACTTAACTTACCCGACGGTTGCTTACCTTTTGATCTCCTGCGAAGTTGCAGTCGGAGCCTCATCTTAGAGATAATGAGACAGCGACCCGTCCACCCATTCGAGTCGCAGATCACTTTGGCCGCCAGCACGTCCAGCCGATCTCGCCTTCGGATGAGAACATGGTCCAGGAATTGCCAGCACCGTGATCGAGGGTACATTTACGTTGACTTCTACCTCGTCAAAAGGCGAAAGAAGCTGTTGGTGAGGAGCGGGAAGCAGTGTTCGGCACAGGTTTGCAAAAGGAGGAGGCTGTTGTTGCAGCCCTAACATTCCACGGGGAATTTAACTCTCCTTCGCAGGTAGCCTAGTATGTCCCGACGCGGGCATTGGAGTCACCAAGGCCAATCAGCTTGTCCGCCCTCGGCACAGTCGCCAGAAGAACATGCAGATTGTCGTAGAACTTGCTCCTCATCTCGTCGGAATTTGTTATTGGGGAGGCGTAGGCACTGGCGACGGTGGCAGCTTTGACTACCCGAGGAGGCATGTATGGGGTCATGGGGCGGTCGTTGATGCTCTATAGCAGATAGGGTAGTTGTCCCACGATGTATTTTCGGAGGACAAAGGCGACGCCAGCGTCGCTTCGCTTGGCCTTTTTAGGTCGCCCCAGAAGGTGTAGTCGGCACCCACCTTCCGTTAACCTTGCTCCGATAAGCGGGTCTCGCTGTTTGCAGCGATGTCCATCTTGTAGCGCTTCAGTTCCTGAGTAATTAGCGTCATCGCCCGTTCCGGCCGGTCTTCCCCCGGATTGCCTAAATGAAAGCGATCATTCTAGGCTGCCAAAGTGAACAGGGTTACTCTAGCAGCCTTTGGAATGTGACGGGGAGGATGGTGACGAGGATTGTTATTGTTCATTGTTCCATTCCAACCTCCAGTCTTACATCTACATGCCGCGATAAATTTGAAAATATGATTCGAGAATTTGTTTAGGGCACCTTTTCTAGCCCCCTTCCTCACGAGGGGCAAGCAGTGCTGTCCTTAAGTGGAGCTGCTTAGTCACCCCGGACAGCTGCTGACCTCCACTATGGACCACGGTTCTGTTTAGTGTAAGAGTTGTCCGAGTGAGCCTGGTTCGCCTACGTGATTGCATGCCGCCCTCTCCGTAGGACTTTTTGAGGGGAAGGAGTGTGGAATGGAAATGGGAGCAGAACTACCGATCGTGGGGACACACAATGCTGGATACCCTCACCTGGTTCAGCCCGTCTGTCAATGTGGTTTATTGTGGCGTGCCCACTCGGTAGAGCCTGGCTTCGAGGTGCTAGAGATAAGAGTTGGGTGCCAGATAAAGACCGTGCGGAGCGGTCATCACTTGCATGATGTGACCTACCAAACCTAAGCGATTTCTGTTCTGGCTTTAAACCCCACGACACGTCAGTGCCTTCCTAGTTAATAATAGAACTGACACGCTTGAATCTATCACGATGCGTTAAAAACCGTGGCTTAGGAGGTTGCCAACTGCCGATTCAACTCAGACCTCTCAGTCAGCCCAGTGTGTGTGTGTTTGTGTGGAGCGCCTGACTGGTGGTCTGAAAGTCAGGCTCAATGGCTCCTTAATGTAGCCTCTTTGGCACTCTCACGCACATGAGTTCCAAACAGTCCGCCCCTTCTCCCTTAGTGTGAGATCCCGGTAGTTTTTACGTAGACCAGGGGGTGTGTTGGTACGCGCAGACGGGCTCTCTAACCCTGACAACCACTGCGCCCACTCCCAACTTCAGACAACTAGCCGGCCCGGACTGGTGCCTGTGAGGGGCAGCAGAGAGTGAGGCGACTGCCTCAGTGCATACTCCTCACCACATACAGTCTGGCGCGCCTAAATCTCACCGTGCACTAAAAGATGTTGGTTTGAAGGCTTGCCAACTGACGGAACAAATCGGTTCTCTTCCTAGGACTGAGCGTCAGGCTGCAGTGGTTCCTTTTTAATGTGACCTCTACGGCATTCCCACTCAGTTTAGGTCCGAACCGCCTATCATGAGCGAACTAGGCGTGTGTGGTATGCATAGATGGGCTGTTTAACTACGTTAGTCACCGCGCCCGATCTCGCCTCCGGCCTTCCTGACATTGAACTCAGACGGGTGAGGGAGGACAGGGTGCGGTAAATGCTGCGCAAGTCTGCTATTATTATAAGTTAATTCACGCGCAAGTGCCGTTCCTGAGCCTACCCTCGTGTGGGGAACACTGTGAACATAGTCGAAATAGGCAGTCGAACTGTCATTACAGACAGTTGACGTTTTTGGTCATATTTGCAAGTTAACGTAAGAAGATGCCTTAGCAATCAGATGACCTTGTATTTTGGACTTAACCCGTCGTCCAGGACACAACATTGTACATAATAACCTTTGAGAAGTTCTAGTACCAAAGTAACCGTCATTTTCTTAAAAAGAATTTGGTCCTTGAATTGCTGCCTTACCTGATTTATGCGGACATAAGGATCGATTTTCAACTTCACGGAGGTCGTTTGTGTAGGCGTTTATAATTTTGATTATTACGCGCTCATAAAATACCGTGCGCAATCATGCAGTCTTGGTAAGAAAATGCATATTTTTACAGCAATATTCCTTTTTAGTTGACAAAACATTTTTGAAGGATTTCATGCGTGGAAATGGCTTTGTAATCATTGTAGCAGGCCAATAAATACGTGCCAGGACCCCCGAAACACCGCCAACTAAGCAACCTAACATATCAAATTTTTGATTCTCCGCTCAACGGTTGCAGGACTCAGTCAAACAATTAAAAGTCCATGTAGGTTTATTTCATAGAATGCCGCAAGTTTGCTCTCAGCCCTGTGTGAGGTGCATTTTATAGTTGAGAAACCAACAAGTAAGTTCTCTGCCCTCGGCTAAGGACTGGCCTGTCCTTTAGAATAATTTTCTGCAATCGTATTCTTGCACGTTTTAGTTCAGCCTCGGTCGCTGCTGGTCTGGCCGCCTGCGTCTTGACGCGTCGTTGTGCCAATTTGGCGTATCAAAAGTTTCGCCGCAGCACAGTTACCCTGAAGATTATTGATGAAATTCAGACGGCCTTTGAGCAGCTCTTTTTACCCAAACGAAGATGAAGCCAACACTGCCATTGTTGATGACGATAATGAAGATGATTCCGCATGGAAATAATCCATTTTTATATCCGTGCGTCTAGTTGTTTGGTGATCTACCAAATGAGGACCTCAATTTTGTTTCTCGCATTCCCTGCTTCGAATTCTCTCAATCCTCCGGTGTGTATTTTCTGCGAATTGAGTCCTTTCTTCCAGTACGGTCTCCTCCTTTGTCGGCGAAGTTTTTGGGGTTTCGTCTGTGGCGACTGTCGCAACAGCTGGCAAGCGCAACTTGAAGTAAAGCTTTTCCGCTCTAAATTCTTATTTGCAATATTCACTCTGAATGTCACTGTATGTGAAGGACGCGCTGTGCTCGAAGCGAGCTACCTGACTTCCTCAGGCTTACGCGAGCTGGAGTTGAAATTTCCATGTCACTCACAAATTGATCCAGCTACCGTCTTGCCCTATTGAGCATTTTCAACGAATTTGGTCCTCATGAAAAGGACAGGTTGTCAATTTACGATTCCGTTGTCAGCAGTATTTTGGCTGGGCGACGACCAGTCCGTATGACTTGGTGTGCAGTCTTTTACTCATGCCCAATTTTTACTTTAAATATCGGGCACTAAGCTGGGAATCTCATCTTCACCACCATAAAGGTTGGTAGCACCGGCGGGGGTGGGAAGCTTGTGACACCCTGAAGAGCCTAGTGTTCGACTTTCAACCCCAGCTACTTATTACTATACAGTAGCGTTTTATTCAGAACTAAACACGACTGACCGAGCTTTTAACGTTTGTAATCGGACTCGCATATTTCTTGAGACGCAGGGTTAACCAAGCTGAAATCCTGTGCTCCTGCGAACAGCGCTACCGTGTGACAAGGACCCCCGGTCAAACGGACGACAAAACGACCTCATCACATTCCGAGCGAACTGCCACAGTTAGCATTGACAGTCTGTTCGCAAGAATGAACTCCTGTCCTTGGTGTCCATGTAGTGACCTTAAGGCGGTGATTACTTCTGTTGGCCCGACACCGAGGTCATCAACACAACCTCTAAGGGGCATCCACGAGTGTTTTTTAGGTCTATCACTAAAGTTGGCGATACTGATCGCCATGTCGACCTCCGCACATTACAAAAATCAATGGTAAATCTCTTCGGTCTCAAAACCCTATGATCACGAAGATAACGCAAAGGACTCGCGAACCATAATTCTAGCCTTAGTGAGTATCAAACAGAGCCATGATTCCACCCACAGCCCATAGTGCGAGGGCATTTATCACAGTTTTTCTGTCGTTCACCCGCCAGCATGGGATACGCACTCTAACCATTTATTTTACGACGGGATGTTAGTAGTCCGAACCTCTGTGGTAGAATTTCATATTTTTCGAAAGTCTGAGTTGCTTGAACTGACGTTTGTCGTGGATATATTCAGCCAAAACTGGCCAACTTTTTGAATTTATCCGATCTCATTGGTCATCGAGAACTTGGTTAAACGCGGCTGCTGGGTACCGTAATCCTGTACCATAAATCGACAGGGGGACAATCTTCGCAAGACTTGACCTCTCCACAAGTTACAGAGCCCGTCCATGTATCGTCCACATTATTTTAACTCCAAAACCATCATTCCCACTCGGTTTTGGGGATTCCCGATTGTGGCGTTAATCTTACCAATCTTGTGAACTAGAGTTCAGCTGGTAGATCTCCCGTGTCCAAAGCTGGGGCGCTGTTGACCAGTAACAGCAAATAAGTCAGCTCTTCTACTGATTACTCCTTGCCCCGCAACATCCCGCGACGCCTGGTCGAACATGCTGGTATTCTGTTGTACGTTCACGCCAGATCGCGGGCGTCTTTGTCTGCCTGCATTTCAGTGCTCTTGCCGTCGGATAAATGAGTATGAGAAGGCACAACTGTATCCGGACCCAAAATGCCCATTTGAGATTTATGCCTAACCGCGTATGTCACCATAGCAAAATATGTCTATCGAGCACCGAAATGTGTACAGTGGCAAATATGAGTTATGGAAAAAGAGGGAAGTTGGATTTCCGTGAAAGAGTCTTTCCTCGTCTGCTTGTTTGGGTTCATGTTCGGTGCAGTGAGGGGCGCTGTCTAGTCACCGGTTATCCTCATGTCAGTGTAACAAACGCAAATTAAATACTTTCTCGTTTTGAGCCGCAGGTACTTTCCGACTGCATCTGAAATGCCACAAGTGGTCTTGCTCAAGTAATCGGCGGTTAGGCCACCAACCTAGGTATCAGCACAACACAGCTATCCGCAGTAAAAGCCCCATCCGTGACGAACAAAGAAAAATTACAATATACTGCCGTTCTTAGCGGTGAAATAGAACAGGAGTTTGAGTAAGTAGGCGAGAGAATCCGTTTTCTCGACTTCGACATTTTCTTCATGATACAAACCCTCCTCCCTGTCATAGGCGAGGAATCATTTTGTTTGACCTAGATACTGCAGACCGCAATTCAGCACATCAGGGTGCTTCACAGAAGTCTACCGCCTATTACTAGAACTTCACTAGTCTACGCTGTCTGCAGAAATTGGATCTGCGACTGGTTTAAGTAGCCGACACGCAAGCGAAGTCGAAAAGGCGAATATCAGCTGACAACAGCGAGACTCACGCCTGTTGTCAAAACAACAACTCACACCGAAGTAAATAGGTCAAAGTGTCAGCATTCGAGAAGCTAACCAGCATAGTAGATTAAGGCGTCTCGCCAGACGTGGTTTTAAGATATTCAGAGCACCCATCGACCTTAACGTACCGTGCATTATTACCTCCTCCAGGCCAGGGTAGGAGAGCCGTCTAGGGTGTCATTCGCTGGATAGACGCCACCAGTCAAAGCTCGCCTAAGAAACCTAAAATAGCAGCATAACCCTTGGCGTACCTCTGTGTCGATTATTTTAAAGGTGTTAAAACCTTGAAATCTATTCGTTGTTAGCGTTCGCCTTTAACAAACGCTCTGTCAAGAAAGGCCGTCTTACAGGTGGGCGAAAATTCTTCTAAGGGATTCAGGACGTCAGGTACTGAACCAGATTCAGTATCCAGGATCCTGAAGCCTGATTATAAATTTGCTGCCATTTCCGGTGTGACTGTTGCTGAGGCGTCAGTAATTTCTGGCTTCTTCCCCTCGCCTGTTCACGCTGTGAATTGAATAAAAAAATTTCCGCAAAATAAAAAAAACGAAACACACGATGAATGTGCGGGACGCACGCGCCATCTTGAGGCTTGGATTGGTGCCACCAACCAAGACTTTTGCCTGCCAGAATTTGCAGCTGTCCTCTAGCTCACTTCCACACCTGGAGGGAGTGCAGTGGCGACCTGCAGGGGATTTTGTTTTTCATACTGTTGCGAACTTCTGTTGCACCTACTTCATTAGATATTCCCACATCCGCTGTGTTTCACTTTCAAAAGAGAATGGCACGCCAAGCAGATGCGGGTGTGGTCACAGTGGCTGGCATAGTTAAGTAGCGACTTTGCGCTTCACACAAACCACACTTCAAAGAGAGCGGAGGTCTCGTATTTGAAAGAAATGCGAGTGGCTTGTCTGGCCCCCATTGTAAGGGAGGCGGTCAGTTGGTGGCCATCCAAGCCACGACTTTTAGCGTTTCTTGGTGGTTTCAGCCGCGTCGGATTTGTTATAATGAGAAGGGCACCGCCAGCCTGCCTGAACTTCCTGTCTGTCTGGCTACGAGATTAGGTGTAGCCATAGTAGCATTACTGGCAGGGACAAGGAAGACTGGGGTCGCCGTTTCTGGCCTGTTAGCCCTCATCAGCCGGTCATACCCAACTCCGGGGTATGCAACTCCCGGGGCTCGATCCCGCGACCTGTTGGTTAGAAGTCCAATGTACTAACCGTTGAGACACGGGCTCATTGTCCTGTCGGTTGCGATCGGATATGTTAGCAACAGGACAACGAGCACGTGGCCTGGTGCCCAAGGCGTTGGACTTCTAACCAACAGGTCGGGAGTTCGGACCTCAGGGGTTTCATACCTCTGGGTCCGGCATGATTGGCCGACGGTAGTTAGCAGGCTAGAGACGGCCGTTCCAGTCTCACTTGTCATTTTAGGGAATGTTATTCTGCCCATACTACGTGGTTGCTGGCGGAGCTCGTTTCGCACACGCCATTTGCTCTTGGCAAGACGAATATAAGCCCCCTGGAGATAAAATCACGTTAGTGACAAACTTCATGCTTTAAGCCCCCACTCAACGCTTGACATATAACCAGTCGGCCTCACCTTAGATTCGAGGAAACACAGCAGTCCTTTTCTGGGGTGCGAGTGGAACACCCAAATAGAAACTTAATGAGAAATTAATTAGACACTATCGTGGCTCTTACTAAGAGTGCAGATTTTGAATGCGGCTTCTACTTTACTGACATGCTTCCTGCTTACATATGGAGGGATGGGAGCCCGTAGGCAACCATAAACTTCAGAGTAAAGTGGGGGAAAACACCTAATAAGGAAATTAATACAGATCTTAAGTATTCGGTCGAAATACATGAAACGGTGACCGAAGTAGTAGAATTGGACTTTAAATACTGCAGAACTGGCTAGATAGAAACATACTCCCAAGGCTGGTTGGCGAAAAACCTCTTTTCTTATTGCTGCAATACAAGTTCTGAGAGTAGTCCTGATATTGGCGTGCCCATTGGGGTTCTCTTTACCTGTTGGTAGAACTTATTGTCGAATTGACAGTAGTTTCTAAGACAGGGTTTGAGCAGTTCCGTGGTGTGCTGAGTTGGGATTTAAACAGGATTTTTCTGCAAGCATTGTGCCACGCAATCCCTACCATGCCGTCGTGGGACTGACGCACCATGTGCGTGAATCGCTCTGGACAGTCGAACTTCTGTATGATTCTCCAGAGTCCATCACGATTTACTGTACCGAAGGCTTCTGTCAGATCCACGAAGGTAGCGTATAGGTGAATCCGCGTTTCTTGGCATTTATCTTGCAGCTGACGGGTGTCGACGATCTTGTTGGTGGTTCCAAGGTGTCGCCTAAAGCCGGGAAGAAGTCTGT